CACGTCGATAGTAGTTAGAGCGTGCATCCTGTGTGAATGCTAATTCCTTGCCAGCCAGTTCTTGATTCTAGATTTTAGATTCTAGATTCTGTCGGGGATCACTCTTGTATCTTTGCTCTATTTTGGTGGTGATGATGATATTTGTCGGTTTTCAGTATCTAAAATTTTTAGTTTAGTCAATTTGTGATCGGTCAAATTTATTTGAAAGAAATTTTTCAAGTTTAAGACTGAAATGTTAAACATTGATTTGATTCTTTGTAGAAAATGTGGTCATTCGAAACAAAGTATGGTGTGATGGATTTGATTCAAAGTCTATATTGATATTTCTGTAATTTTAGCTTCATGAATTCAAAAATTTTTTTTATTGATTAAATAATTTTCTTGATGCAAAATTTTTTCTCAAAAAATCAAGTTAATTATTTTATCAATGTACAAAATTAGGAATTAAAAATATTTCTTAAACTTCAATTTTTTACTGTAATATTTTAAAAATTTAGACAATTTCCACAATACTGTTACCAGTAATCACCTGACAATTATTTAGATTTATTCAAAAGATAAATTAGCACTAAAAAAATATTAAAAAATTATCTTTATTCTATTTTGAAATTCTTATATGTTAATGTTCTTAGACTACTTTTTTGTTCAAAAAAATCCTAAACATCATTGATTATAGATCAATCATCAATTTTTAGATTTCCTAATTCTTCTCAACAGTATATTTACCAAAATTTAATTAACCATATAAATATTTCTACATTGAAAATTAAATTTTAATCAAATAAACCTAATTTTCTTTTTAATTTTCTCACTTTCTATTACATTTACATAAATTCAAAAATAAATAATAAACATAACAAAATGTTAAATCATAAAATATTAATTAATAAAGCAAAGAGATGAATAAAAAAAAAGTAAAATCATTTTAATGAAGCATCTGGAAAATACTATTGAATGATTCCCCAACAAGTCCCCTGACATATCCTTGCAAATATAAACATAAACATAAACATAAGTTTCTCCTGTTGTGGTTCTACAAACCAATGCAACAACCTCAATCCCTTTCTCTGTTGCTCTTACCGTGTATCAGTCTTTCTGTTCTTTCTGTTTGGCTCTTTCCCTCAGTTTGAGGAATCGCCGTTTTAGTTGAGACTCTCGGTCTTTCGTATTCGCGTGTTGTACCCATATCCTTAGTATGCAATGTATGCAGCAGTCGGTTGTTACCGAAGGAGTGGTTTTGCCAGCCGGCCAATGGCGAGTGCTCCGGCTAATTCTAGGGTGCCGCCGCCTCGCCATCTTTGCATCATAATGTGGCAGTGCTGTTCTGTGTTCTGCGTTCGCGGTTCCTCAGCATGCCCACTTTGCTCCTCACTCCTTTTTCCTCTTCCTCTCAACTCACTCACTCTCTCTTTCTCTTTCTCTCTACGCTTTTGCTCACGTGCACAACAAATGCACCGGAGTCCCACGAGGAATCGTCACGGCGAACCAACACTAACCTACACCATCACGTACCGGCTGGAAAAACCTAGAAAATATTTTTTAATATAATTACAATGATACAAGCTGGTGGAAAAAGAAAAAAGCATAAGCAGGATTGATGAAAAGAGAAAAGACAGTAGATAAAAATGATCGAGAGTCAAGAAGAAAGAGAAATGTTGAATGTTGAGATGTTGATTGCTGGGATTACGATGGAAACAACCAAGAGTGAGATCGAGAGTGGGACGGCCATGGTGGCGAACTCCGTAACAGAAGAAGGGGTTGTCTGCGCCTTGTCTGCCAAGAATCAATCACGTGACAGTGGCTCCCAACCATCAGCATGATCTAACTGTAAACAATGGAATGCTATGCAATCCCTTGGTCTATCTTATCTCTTCTGTCTTGTTGTCTGATGAGCTTCAACATAGAAGTAGAAGTAGAAGATGAAGTTGAGATATAAGGAAACTCTAGAGTGAGCATATGGGCAAGTAAAGATAAAAGAGAGAGAGAGAGAGAGAGAGAGAGAGAGAGAGAGAGAGAGAGAGAGAGAGAGAGAGTAAATAATGCTGTCCTTTTGAAGTGCAAGAGAGAGAGAGAGAGAGAGAGAGAGAGAGGTTTACGCCCAGAGGGACGTGGCACCTACGCTTGAATCAGCTTCTTCTGTCAGATGCTGCGGACTCGCACGTGAATGCGATCAGCTACCGTCGCTTCCTTAATTCTAAAGAAATTTATTAGCGGAAATTTGATCTGCATAGTGGGTTTAAATTCATTCGTAAAATTGCTATTTTGCATTTTCGATGTAGTTATAAGGGATTGAAATTATTGTCCTGATCTATAATAATGAATTATTAGAAATTTACACAGAAAAAGTATAAAATATTCGAAATTTCCGTGGAAAAACTTTCTGATATTGTTATATATAGACTATATGTGATAGTAAAAAAATAATTTTTTTAATTAGAAATTTTTCTAAAAATACGTATGTCAATTAACATTATTTTGAGGAGAAAAATTGGTCTGATAATTGATTAAATTAATAATGAAGCTGAAACAAGCTCCTTAAAATAGTAAAAAAGAGGAATTTATTTTAGAAGTTTATACATTAAGCTTAACGTTCTTGTAAGGAAAAGATTTAGCTATCATGCGCCATCTGTCGGAGATTTTAAACACTAATTTCGACAAAAAATGAGATAGGCATACATTACCATGTGAGAGTCCTGATATGGGCAGATCAAGTAATATCAAGCCGTATATAGGCATATTAGGACATATCAAAATTTCTGATATAGCTACATATGAAATTGTTATCACTGGAAATAATAGCTTTACAATCTAAATTCCAAAATCCTGAATAGAACTAAACCTTAATTAATAATTTCAAGCCAGATATGTCCTGATGTGAGTTTATATGCCCTAACATGGCCAATTTTCATGCGAGGTTATAAATGAGCTTATCAAAAATTTATAAAAAATTATTATTTTCAACTTCTTCAGACAATCTACTAAAAAGAAATCACAAAATAACAGTAAAAATAGTTTCGATTAATACTTTTTCTGTCCAAGTTCTCAATATTTGTATAATAGTTTTAAAAAACTTATCTAATTTTTAAGCAATGCAAAATCATGGCGATACAAAATAATTGAAATTTTCAAATAAAAAAGCTTGTACAGCAAATACCTTTATTGTTTTCAACAAAACTCGATCATTTGTCAGGTTAGGAGTGCAAAAAAAGGTTTGAGACTGTAAGACTGTAAGGACAAAGGCTGGCCACGGTAGATCAGAGTGATGGAAAATAATTAAGGCCAAGGGAGAGCTCAAAGGAGCCGCCGGACTCTGATCAGATCGATCGCGTATGAAGGATGCATATCATCGGGCAACTGGATCCTTATTCTGGGCCCAGTCTCTCGGATTGTCTTCTTGTGCGGTCAAGTAATATGAGCACATGCGTGAACTCGGGTTATACATGTGCTATTGACGAGTATCTTGTGACTTTGAGCGGACCAGAATTGCTGCTGGTTCTTGTGTTGTGCTTGTGTTGGTATATCCGACACAAGACCATTACAACCACAGCAGACCAGAGTAGAGTAGAGCGAAACGACGGACAATGCATTGATCATATGTCGGCTATTGTTCTGTCCATTGGACACGGATTTAATCTCATCCACTTGATCGAACCCGCAACAACACTTACTTGCCTTTTATTTTAAGTTTTAATTATTTATTATTTATTATTTATTATTCATTTTTTTACGTCATTCTATTGAATGTATGACGTTAAGTAATTTAATATTTAATTGATTCTTAATATTAATATTATTATTAATCACGCTAATGATGATTTAATTTTTTTTGCTGCAGTATTGTATCAAAAGCGACTGAAGAAAGAGCGACGGGCGCGAAAGCGGCTCCAAGAGCAGCTCGACCTGGAGGTCAAAAGACGCACTCAGTTGGAAGAAGCTCTCAAGGCCACGGGAGCTACGCCAGAACAAGTCAGGGCGATAGCTGGTAAATATCAACATCAAATCCTTACATTACTTTTTAGTCAATAAATCCTGGAAATTTAAATAAAATTAATTAGGAGACACTTGATGATTTTTTGTTATTTGTGGACAGGTAAATTTTTATTAAAAAAATAGTTAGAAAAAATTACACTTCAATTCAATAGTGAATTTTTTTTTATAATTTCTTTTTTAATATTTATTAAGTTAATAACAATTTTTATTTAAATTTATAAAATTTACATGATCCAAAAATAAGTTATTTAGTACTAATGTGCTTCTAATAATTTTTTTAAGCTTTACCTGATAAAAAAAACTCAAATTTTCTGTGTAAAAAAAATTTTCTTAGATAGTTTGATAATTTTCACAATGATTAAAATAGTGCCTTATTAAAAATTTATAATTTACAATTCAAAAATACTACTGATTTTATTTTTGAATCAAATTATTATTGTTAAATTTTATCTGTAATTTTTTTTCATTAATTTCATGACTATTCATGTTTACATTCTTTAATTCAAATCATAAATACAAAAAACTTCAAATCCTGAATAAAACTGATGACTGAATAAAAACCTCGTTTCGTCCTTCTGAGAATAAGGATACCTTCTTACGTCACCGGTGCGGGTTGATTAGAGCAAACGACAGGGGTTCGGTCGGCGGATGTTCAGGGTGGAAGGTGGAGGGTGGGGTTGGGGGGTAGAAGGCGAACGCAAGATGCCCGAGGCAAGTTGGCTCGATCTTGGAATAAATTAATTAATTCCTCGACAAAGCAAACAGTCTGACACCCGGCAGAATATGATTCCTTACTTATCCAGAGCAGTTCGCCGTGATAGTGTAATCTCAATTCAACCCTACCTTTGTATTATATTTTGTATACTATACAAGTACAAGTACAATCAAATCCTAACTCAACAATCTGCATTAATACATTAACACACCTCAGTTTAGCGTTTCCTTAACCTTCCTTTGGTAATCGCTCTTACTCTTACTCTTGTTGATTCCTTTTTCCGAGAAACTTTCCCATGAGCTACGAGCACCCCACCCCTGTCACTGGCAAAACTCAAACACGAAACCCTTTAAGTTAAATCTCTTATTTCGATATAATATTGTATATAGTAGTCGGTTGCCGTTTCCTTCCTTTCGGCTCACTTTATATTATGTTAGTCTTACAGTAGCAGCCTAGCAATTATATCAGTTATTCGCGAGCCTTTTGCTGCCGTTGATTAGTCCTGTCAGAATCAGCAAGTCGTGATATTAATTTCAAATCAAGCACGTCCCGCGCGAATTCATGAGCAAGCCACGGGAGGGCTTGCTAAAACTTCAATTGGGCACGTGGCTCTGTTTGTGTTTTAAGAAAAATAATTCAATTTTTTCTCTATAATTTTTCAAATATAAATAATTTTTTTTTTTTAGAAAATGTAACACCAGAAACCCGTACAAAAACGGAACCATGCGACGAGATGCCAGCACACTCGCAGTCCCAATCATCGTCATCCCAACAGCAACCTCAGCAGTCCCAGTCACAATCCTCTCAGCAGTCGCATCAGCAGCCCCCACAACAACAGGCCCAATATCGGGAGTCCCAGGTTCCGCGTCCACCTCAACAACCTACGACGCCAGATGCAATAAAGCCTGGTTGGGGTTACGGGCTTGATCTGATTGGTGGTCAGGCTTCTGCATTTTGGCAAAATTATCAAGGTAAGTTAAAGTTCCACTTTTTATATTTTTGTCACTGAAACTTCAATTATAATGTACAAATTAGTTGTTCAAAATTTTACTGATGATAATATTTAAAAGAAAAAAAAAATACACTAAAAAAAAAAATTATCTTTAATCAAGACGAAAAATTCTTGAATCAAGTAAAATTTCCTTAAATCAAGAATTTTTCTTGAACCAACTATACACAATTTTTAAAAGAATACAAAAAATTAATTTAGAAAATTTCGTTTTTTAATTAAAAATTTGATTGTATCTCAAGAAGATGATATATTTTTAATCGAAGATTTCGAATTTTTCTTCGCTAATAAAATGACTTTATATTTAAAAACCCAAGAAATTCTTGAATAAAAACATAACCGGTTCTCTTCAAAATAATTTTCTCATTGCAAAAAAATTTTCTTGACTCAAGTAGATTTTTTTTTAGTATATCTACACAACAAGGATCCCTATCTAGTTGTTAATTTCTTAGTTCCCAGTTTAGTTTAGTTTGGTTTTGTTGGCTTGATAGCTCATAGCTCCGGGGCATTCTTTGGTCGGCCTAACCCGGTCCCGAGAGATCACAATTAGACATGATTGATTGCCAGGCTGGCGGATATTACCCAGAGTAAATACACGTTTATGGAATTGTGGGCCATGGATAAATGTAACTGGGACATTAATCTGATCATTGTGTTTAACTAAAAAGTCTATCATCAGGAGCGAGTAATGATCCACCGGCTAATCTACAGTGACACCCATTTAAGTCCGGACCCTCCGCTTTCTAAATTATAGAGAATATAGATATAAACCACAAACCGCAAACCACCTCGAAAAACCCGGGCCCTGTAACTAAAAAGGCATAAAAAATTCATCAAAAAAAAGTATAGAAATAGAAAAGGATTTTATAAAACCATTTAAGATCCGTGTGATATCCAACATTCTCAGGAGGATATTAACATTTTTATTATTATGGGGAATTATTATTAGGCATAAACTGATGTGTCAAACGGAATTTTATATCTTTACAGTAAAAAAGAGCGAGGGCTAATTTATACTTAAAAAATTACTCAAGTTAATATTTTAATTTATATTAAACGTCTAATGTGCATATTGTGTAAAATAATATTTCTTTAAATGTTATAATTGCTATATGTCAGAAATGGTAATTTTTAGAAAAAAAATTGGCAGGACAATTTTTATAAATAATTGCATGATCTACAATTTTTGTTCGATTTTTTGTTTTTTAATTAAATTTACAGTTTGCTAGAAAAATGTACAAATGTAAAAAAAAAAAAACTGAAATAATTTAGCCATGACTTAGAATAAATTTTTCAGCCGATGTAAAATCGGGGTTTTCCAAATTTAATTTGTATTATTATACCCGACATCTGTTTTTTTTTTTTTTTTTTTTTAACTAAGTTGACCGAACAAAACACTTTTAATTTTGTTAAAATTTTTGTAAAAAAAAAAACAGTAATTTTTGATTTATCATAAATATTCGACATATCACCCTCCAGCTCCGGTATCAATAATCGCATCTGCGTATCAGACTACTCAATTTTTCTGAGCTTCCACGCGAACCAACTGATCCTCTTCAATTATAAAGAAAAGCTGTTGCTGATACCGAAAGAACACGGACCAAATATTATCTCCACACTCTCCCTTTTATTCTCCAGTCGGGAGTAGTTATGTACGAAAATAAATTATTCGAAAGAATATAACTCCGTTGAGCGGCGCAATCACGCCGCGGCAATAACATCCCCAATATAATATAATCACAAAATATACATACTCGTATCACCTCTACTATCATATCTGGTATCTGATATCTACTATCTGGTGGGTATTCTGAGCTGCAGTAGCGGGTCCGCGGGAGATCTCAGCAGGAAATACCTATTTGAGTAGGGTAGTGTCTGCGCCTCGCTTATTATACAGCAGCAACGTCAACAGCCTCTGCCTCATCTTAAGGAATCCATTTGCAATAAACATCCGAGTTGAGATTTAGACGCGGTGACAGAGACGGAGACTGTTGTTGTCTCGATAGGAGTAGAAGCCGAGGTACTTACTTACACTTCATACTCATGCTCATACTCATGCTCCAAAAGGTGCCCCAGAGGGCTGCTGTCTTAAAGTCATGCATTCTATACGAGCAGTGGCTCTCGTCTTTCCTCTTCATCTTATTCTTGTATTAGCCCGATGCGGCTTATCCAGACAGTCATTCTAAGGAATTACGCTGTAAATAATTTTTGTAATAAAAGTAGTAAAATGAATATTTTAATATGGACAATTTTGAGAAGAATTTTTTTGATTGAATTTGATGTTTGGAAAATTTTTATTCAATTCTAATCAAAATCTAATAATTTTGTTTTTATCAGAAATTTAACATTTTGATTTTTAATTTAAATTTAATAAAAATTGATAAAAAAAATCTGATCATTTTTTTTATCTTTGACATTTAAATCATAAAATAATTGATGTCAAGCATATTATGATATTTTGACAATAGAAGGGATTTTTTGTCGATCACTCTATCCTTATTTTGAACTTATCAAAAATGATCAAAAATTATTTGCTACATTTTAGTTTGGTTTTTTATTAAGTTGTGTTCTTTTTTTTTTAATCTAAAATATTCGTTTTAAAAATTAAAGTTATGAAATTTTTTATACTCGGAGCGAAAAAAAAATACTATGCATAAAACGATTTCTTGGGTCAAAATTTATTAATTTCTTACTGAAATTTACTCTGAAAAAAATTTATTTGATTAAAAAAAAAAAATTCTTAGACCATGAAAATTATTCTGAATTTTTCAAGAATACATATTCAAGAATCCATATTCTTGGACCATAAATTTATTCTAAATTTTTCTATTTAAATCAAGACGATCAAGTTCTTCAAAATAATTTTGTTCTAGGCTCAAAAATTTTTCTTTTGAATAAAGAATGTACAAAAAATAGCTTCACTTGAATGAGGTTAAAATTATTTTTATCAACTCGACCAATTTATCAAATAAAATATATTTTCAACAATTATCAAGAATAATATATATTCTTGTGTCAAGAAAATTTTCTCAGTGCTAGAATTTCCTTCTGTCAGTGTACTGCTGCAAAAAGTACACCACCCAGTCAATGAAACAAACCAAAAATAATTTTTAAAAGTTGCAGGCAGGAGTTTTATTAAAAAATGGGTGGTAAGACACTTCTTATCCTTTTTCTGACACCTTTTCAAGCTCACCAGCAATCATTTCAATTCAAAAGAAATTTCCAAGGCTCCGCCCATCAAATATTAAGCCCGCCCGGCGATTTAGAGTGATTGCGGTCACGAGTTGCCGGCCAGGAATATATACTGAATACACACATTCAAATTACCTCTAATGTAGGAGTGTGCGTGCTTTTATTCCTCGTATCGCGCATCGCGCATCGTACTCAAGCACAGTAGAATCTCAAGAGAGTGTACGTGGATGAAAATTCTCTCCACGTCTCTTGGCAGTTTGCAATTCGCAGGTGAGCGGGTGGATGGGTGAGCAGTGCGCGTGATCCAATGGAGTAACAGTCAAAAATTATTCCGCGAGGATCCTTCTTGTCAAGTTATTGCATATTGTCTATGTCTACGTCTATGTTTACGTTCTTTGTCTGAATATTAAAGCTCACAAGAGTGGCTCGGTTCTACTACCTGTACCCGGTACCATAAACTTGGAAAGCGCGGAATCACTAAAGAACCAGCTGTATCCACGGAACATGGAGATACTCGGCGGAGACATAACAGCTCGTTTAGTATGTGTGGAGCAAGGGGGAGCTAGATGTATTATATCTCTCTAAAGCGGGATGGAAGCTGCTGAAGACACCTAGGTCTAACTAACTGGCAACGGCAATGTCGGCCGCCGGGGAAATAATACTACGAGATGTGCATAAACTCTGCATTACATCCCACGGTTCTCATCTTAAACTATATTGTTGATACTGAATAAATTCGCTGCACAAAAATAATAACTTGGCTCTAGTAAATATTTTTCTTCAAAATTTTAGACTTCTAAATATTTACAAATCGTAATTAAAGAAAACATCACAAAAAAAAATTCTTTAGTCAAGAAAAAAAAAGAAAAAAGAGTGTCATATCATCTTATGTGTCTTGTTTTTTGACACGCATAGGAAGAGAGTGAGAGAGTGAGGGTGAGGGTAAGGAAAGTCAGTGGAGGGGAGTAAAATAAAAAAGCGGATTTAGGAGCACCTAGGTACTTGCCACCGGCACCTAGGCTCCCCACGCGGCGTAATAATAATACCGGCATGGCTCGAGGATTATCATATAAAAACAAATGTTACCCGGACGAGCTACCGAGGATTCGAACGAAATTGAGTCTGAGACGTAACGAGGGTGAGATCCATGATGTTAAATAAAAATTTTGCAAGGGGCTCCTATTATTGAACCTTCATCTCTGTTTATTCCCTCTAAAACAGAACAAAATTATCTCGGAATAAAAATTTTATTATTACTTTTTTTATGTATGGATAATATTTATTCACATGCTTGTCATAGGATCTTATTCTTATGCAAGAAATTTGTTATTGTTATTATTATTTTTTTTTTTTTTATTATAAACATCATAAATTAGAGTAATTTCAAATAATAGAAAATAGATGAAAATTAAGTTAGCCGAGATTTCAAAATTTTTTATTGAAAAAAATTTCAATCAAACAATTAAAAAAAAAATTGTCACATGTAACAAACTTGAAAAACTATAAGTGCAATTTTTTATAAATATCTTTTTAGTTGTATTTTAATTAATAAAAAAAATCAAAAATTTTTACACGTCTTCTAACTTCAGTGTCATAAAATTAAAAATTCATATAATTACATAAATATATTTAAACTTAAAAAAAAATTGTTGTTATTCTTCTTGAAAAAAAATGTAATAAATGAGAGAACAGTGAATATATTAAAGCCTATATTCGAATAAAAAATAAAAGTAATTAACAAGTAAAAGCACGAGTAACATAAAAAATGTAGATGGGACGATGAAAAAAGTAATAATGTAAAATTAGATAAGATATTCTCGGAGATTAGGATTGACACGTTGAATTGGATCAGTAGGCGTGAAACACGAGGTAGTATAGTTTTGGGGTGTCGAGCAATGGTAAAATCCAATTGTAAGGCCATTAAACCCTGGTTAGCTGGCAGCTCGTCTTGTCGCGCTTTCGGCTCCAGAGTGAGGGAGAGAGAGGCGCGGGAGACAAGAGACGGGACACGGGATTCTATTATGCTTTGAGCAACAATAGCTGAGGGCTGTGTAGCGTTCCGGCGTTAGGCGAGCAAAGCTACGGCACACATAACTAAACCGGGCGTGCGAATTCTGATGAGACAAAGACTAAGACCAAGACACACATTTTGATTTCACCGACTAGACCGTTTAGTTGTTTGCCTTTTCGGCACCCAAATTACCTACTCATAACCGAGCGATACTATATGTACCGTTCTGCGCCTTTGTCTGCCCAAATGACAATTTAACTCCTCGCCCCGAGCCGAAAAAACAATCCCGCAATAACACACCAACGAAAACGGTTAGGTTACGATACCCCAAATTAAATCGCCCCTTCTGTCTTTGTCTCTTTCTCTAGAACGCGTTAATCTCAATCTTAATCTCAGCCTTTTATATTTTATATTTTATCTTTTATCTTTTCTTCAACTTCAAGTTAATATAAAGTGAAACAGAGTTCTATCAGCCAAAATTGCGTGTTCACTCGATGCAATTTAACTCCGCTTCTCTTTTTACCGGCACAAAGGACTAGTCGTGCAGAGTTGAGTCTCGAGGAAATCCAGGTTGATGTAAAAAATGAAAAAAAAATATAAATAAAAATTGAGAAACGCGCGATAAATTTTTTACCTGAAACCTAAATAGATTGATAAAGAAAGAAAGGAGAGCTACTTGTCTTACACCCTGACAAATCGACCGGACAATGGAAATAATTTGCAGCGAATCCCAGTCCTCGGCTAACTCGGAATTCCATCTCTTTTTCATTTCGTTTTTATCCCCCGAGTAAGTTATTTATTTCATCTTTTTAGGGTGGAGTTTATCGATGACTGGCAGTTCTTGTAATTAACTTTGCTCTTCTTCGGTCTATGCCGGTGAAAAAATATCCGCAAGTGGGAATGGGCATGTCAAAATGTTGTTTCATATTTAGAAAAAATTATCATTAATTCAAAAATAAAATCATCGATGATGCGAGGTTTTAATATTTTAGAAAATTATTTTTTTTAATTTATATTTAAAATCTTATTCAAAATATTTTTACATCAACAATATGAGAGAAATTTCTTTAATTAAAATTATAATTAAAATCAAAATTTTTTAATTTGTGTTAAATTAATATAAAAAAATATAAACAAGCTTCTTTCAATAGATACAAAAATATTTCAATTAAATAAATAAATAAATATAATTTTAAAGATTAGGTGCTTTCGTACGGGATGACCGATAAAAATTTTCTCAATAAAAAATTACAAATTTGATTGTTTAATTTTTAGAAAAAAAAAAAAATTCCAAAGAATAAACGAGTAAAGAAAAGTGACATAAATATAAAATTATACGTTTATAATACAATATTTGAAGAAAATTTCCGGATGAATTAGTGGAGACAAAAGCAATAAAGAGGAGTCACTATTGGTTTTAATTCTCGGTCGACTGGGTTATGCAGAGGCACCGGTACGGTTCGGGTAAAAAAGGGGTCGATTAAGACGAGCGATATTGGGTGGCTGGCCAAGCCGGGCCTAGGCTCATCTGCGGGGGTTGATTTCGTGTAGTGTGCGTTTTTAATTCTCTGATCTTTATGTAAAGCACGCGGCACAAAGTGACTCCAACACCAAACAAACAGAGTGGATCTCTATCATATATATCTGTGTGTGTTTGCAGACGGGAGATGGGAGATGGGGGACGGTTGCTCAAGAGCGTCAACCCGACCGTGAAATTGTATGAATCAAAATGGGCGCACAAGTGGATACGAGAGACACAAAAAGCTTAAGAATAAGTTTCAGAACAAGACGAATAATGATCAAAACGGTGATAACAATAATGGTCGCGTAAAAAGATGAGACTGCATCCTCATCCTGCATGGTATTGTCGTCTTCGTGTTCGTGTACTCTGTACCATACTGGTACGCAAGTGGATAGGAGGTTGCTCTTTCCAATCCGTTCTTCACAGTCGCTCTTTATAATTTCAAATTTCCTTAGGCGGCAATTCCGAGTTTAAACTGAAGATCTCGCCTTTGTTGTTTTTTTTTTATATTCCTAAAGAATTGGTTTGATTATTTATTTACAATTTTTTAGAAAATAAAATTTCAAAGTAAAAAATTTGGAGCAAATTATTTTTTTAGAAAAACAGTCAAATCCTTAAGTGAAAATAAAAATTTTTAAATTAAAAAACTATTAATTTTTTTGATGAATTGTTTCTATTAGATAAATTTTTGTTATAAAAAAAAATTTATAAAAGATTTATTGTATAAAAAAATAAAAACGAAAAAATTCATTACTTCGCTAAAACATACCATAAGAAAAAAAAATTTAAAAAGTATTTCATAATTGAAAGGTCTATATTGCGTGCATAAAGTTATTGCATTACATTCGCAAAAAAATAATTTTTTTTTAACATAAAAAATATTCGATATTAAATTAGAAAAGGCAACAACAGTAAAAAAAAAAAAAAAAAAAAAAAAAAAAAAAAACTAAAAAGGGGTTTATTGGTTACCGATATCGGGGAAAGAGTTATTTAAGGAAAAGTATCTGTAAAACATGTAATGAATAAAAATCAAGTATAAAAGGGGAAAATAATAATAAATAAAAAGAGTACACGGAGAGAAATTTATAGGAATCTTTCCGACAATTATGGGAATGGATCCTATAATAAAATTATCATTATAGGCATTAATCCTATACTCATTATGGGAACCATACCCATAATTAATTGGAAACGTTCCTATACAATAATGGAATAGCTTCAATATATTATGGGAATGGTTCCTATAATATTATGGAAACTATTCCTATATATTATGGGAACCATTCCTATATATTATGGGAATCATGCCGATATTACAGTTATAATTATAGGTATCGTTCCTATAATTATAGGAACCATTCCCATAATTATAGTAATGCTTCCCAAAAATTATGGGTATAATTCCCATAATTTAAGTAATCGCTCCTAAAATGGTATAGGAAAATATTTCATTAAAATTATAGGAATGATTTCCACATTTTTCTCTCCGTGTAATGTAAATAACTTGTAGATTTAATGATAAATATATGACCCGTAGAGAGAAGAAACGTTGACGGCTTAGTGCGTCCGTGGCATGGTTAATTCTCTGTAATATCATTAAAGAGACATTTTCCAGTTTTCACCCTAATCCTTGTGGAATTCAGTGAGCTTCGTCCCGTGGCTTCTCCCCGTAGTCCGTTCACGCCTGCCTACGTCGGTTATATTCCGTCGGAAGGTTTGTCTGACGGAAAGGAAGGTTAGGTTCATCGTTTCCACTGCGCTACTCTTTCTCTTTTCTCTTCATCTCTTTCTCGTTACTAACGTTATATAT